GAGTCTACTCATCCAGGAGTTGCGCCTGCCCTCTGTTCCACCCTAGGAACCACGCCTTACTTCTCCATGAGTCTCCCACTCTTAGTTTCAAGAGTCCAGGTAGCTTTCCACCTTTAACCATGGGGGCAGCCTATAAAAGGTTGATCCATATCTGTCTTCATACTCTGAGTATTACAATGCCATTACTGAGCTCACCACCTTGACAAGAGTCAACTTGTTCCCGGAACCTGCGCATGCCCTCTGCTCCTTCATAGCAGTCGCGTCTTAATGCTCCACAAGTCATCCACTTATTGTCCAAGACAAATGTCTTCTAAGTCATTGATCTTTAGCATGGGGGCAATATCCATGAAAGTCAATCCTGCATTTGTCTCCATACTCATCATAGCCCTTTTATTGGCTATCCATCTGTCCACTCATACCTAGCCATCACATTGGCTCTGGGGCGTTCTGAACTGGGCTCCTTCCACGGCCCTCACACCTTCTCCTGAGGTGTCTCCGCTCGTCGTCAGCTAAGATGCTTCAAAGTGGCTCCATAAATTCTTTGCTACTAATTACATAGAAAGAGAAAGTTGCGGTATACTCCTCGCAATCCTCCACCTCAATTTCTATGTTTGGAGCTTCTACGCCTTTTCTGCTTAACAGCTCCACCCGCACCAACTCCCTTTGGTGTCTTCGCCTTTCATCATAAGCGGTCGCCTTTTATCACAGGCGTTTGCACCCCCTCAATTAGGTGCATCTGCAACAGCTCATCCTTCCATCCTTGCATGCATTGAAAGGTCCTCGCTTGTTGCCTTTATCAAGAGCACAAGAGACTTTTGTTGTACAATTTTTTCATAGTCTCTGCTCTGAGCTTCATCTAGGAACTCTTCTTCTCCTTGCACCTGTTGTCTCATTATAGTACCTCGTTGGATCCTCCGGGTACTCCTACACAATCTTCATGTGCTCTCGTGCAATTTTGGTTCTCCAGATTTCTCCCTATTCCTTGCTTATATTTGACAGCAGCTCATCCTGTCACAACATATATCCAAGTTTAAATAGGGTGCCAATCTTTATCCCTTTGCTGTATTTCTCTTCCATTATCAGGGTCTTCATCAATTCTCCCCTCGAGAAATTATAGTCACCGAATCTAACTTCCTTGGAGAAATCACCACTCCATCAAATCCTTGATCATACGAAACCCAACTGTTCCTTTGTGCCGTCATCCTGCTACTCTTCAACAGTTTCATAACAAACTGTCACATATACGAAAATAGTACCGTATGGATAATCCTTCCACTAAGCAAGTTCCCAGGAAAGATTGGAGGGGTCACAACGGTCCCGCTTAAAACCCAATCTCCTAGCCAGAACTTCTTAGGTCATATCTATCCATCGTACTGTCTTTTCGTATATACAACCATTTGCTAGCTTTGTTGCGGCTTTCCTTTATAAGTGATCTGGGGTATCCTGGTTTTATACCTGATTTCTCAACATCTGGTGAGACTACCAGTGCTCAGATTCGTCAAGATTGGTCTTCATCAAATTTCACTCTCCACCTCAAATTGTCCACATGATCGGGTGTTTAGAGTGTCCCAATTTTACCTTCCCTCAAGGCAATTAAAATTCCCCACATAATAGTTCACCACATGTAATTGGGCAAACATGTGTGATTTCTTCTTCTTCAGCTCCATCGACCACCATGATGACCATCATATGCCTCTTGATCGGGCAATCTCTCTTTAATAATTCATCACTGCCATTTCTGATCTCAATATCAACGATCGAACCGTACCATTGCATCCGGAACGATCAAATTAGCTGGAAACAAGTCTGAAATCGTCCAAATCGCACTTCAGACGGCTAAGAATTGATCAAAACAATTTTGGCCTGATAAACGGCCCAGATTCAATCTCAGAACCGGTTGCACATAGACTCCGCCACACAGGATCAAAATCCAGGGAGCTGACGTGGCTGTAATGACGTGTCATCCACGTAGGACATATAGGTCAACCAAATCTGACGTGGCAGTTGACTGGTCAGAGTGCTGATGTGTCAGGTGACGTGTCTGATGACTGTGCAGAACTGCTGACGTGGCAGTTTGACTGGTCAGAGTGCTGATATGTCTGATGACGTGTCTGATGACTGTGCAGAACTGCTGGCGTGGCTGATGACGTGGACAGACACCCCGCCGGCGCGTGCGACGGTTTCCGACGTCCGATTTCGACGCGGTTTTCACCAGTGGCTTCGTCTCTTCCTCCTCTACACAGTGGTATGGTCAAAACACAATTTTGACAACTTTCATTTTTGAGCAAAATCAAACACCACTTTAAACCGAACGCTCTGATACCAATTGTTGGGAATTTCGACCGGTGATGTTCTGATACTTGCTCATAGGAGAGCCAAGCACACTAACACAATATTTAACGTGGTTCGGCAAAACCGCCTACATCCACGGGAGAAGTCAATATATTTAAAGATAGAGAAAGAATACAAAACAAATACATGGAGGAGGAGGATTACACCCTCTCATACTCAACTCTCAACTCTCTTTGCTGCACTTGCAACTGCTGCCATTGCAGCTCTCTCTTCCTCTCTACTCTCTTCACATTTTCATAATTCTCTTCACTCTTTTTGCTCTCTTGCCTATGCCTCTATTTATAGCCATTCATGGAGGCTTTTCTTCAACAAAGGTGGCTGCCAACTCCAACTCTTCTTCAACAATGGTGGCTGCCAACCTTTGACATCTTGGATGAGTGCACATGGTTGGTGCAATAGCCAATGGTTGTTGCACATTAATGGCAACCAACCTAACACCATGCCCCAACGAATGGCAAGTCGAGCCTCTTGTTTTTTCTGTTTGCGGCTTTTGTATGATTCAGAATCCGAATCACTTGCATTTCCTTCTTGTCCAAAATCAGAAGTTTTTTCTGAACGGCGTGATCGAAAATGCACGTTACGATTAGAAGCTGTAACTACAGTCAGAGAGAGACGAGCAGAGATGGCTTTGATGGATAAAATTAAAGATTCAGAGAGGAGGTAGTTGAACACAGCGTGACAGAAGCAATGGTTACGTAGAAACGACATTGCCGGATCAGACGTGCCATTGCTAACAACTGCTGCTTCTTTGAGGCGCTGCATCTAGGCTGCCATGGCAAGTCATTTTTGAAAGAAGAGTTCGAGCCACGCCCGGTAATTTTGAAAACCCATATAGCGTGGGCCAAGAGCTATGGCCTATTAGAAATGGATATATGAAGACGAGTGACCTATCATATACTCCCCTCCCCCGCAGACTCTCCACAAAGCTTCTCCCACATGCCACACCCGCATCTTCTCTCTCCCCATTGCTCTCACAAACATTGATATTAAATCTGAATCGAGAGTCGACTCAAAGTAATACTTGAGTCAACTCAAAGTAATACTCGAATCACATTTGAGGAGTAGATTAACTTGGATTAGTTAAAAATTTATTTTAAAAAAATCAAAATAAAGTCATTTTATAAAATAGAATATTGAAGAAAACAGGGTTAATTTTTTTTTTATTCTTTTATAAAACTCAACTCATATTAGGTTTCAAATTAACCAACCAACCCGGACGAGAATTAATTAATAACATTCCTCAAAACTCTCAAGTTCGGGACGTGATTCCCCTTCTCTTTGTATGCAAAAGCAAAAATCTTGGTGGCTGGTGCCATGGCGTTCATGGTGTTCGTTATAGACAAAGGAACTTCCATAAACAAGACACAAATTCTCCTCTAGATTTAAAGAAAACAGATTCCACCCTTCGATTTAAATTTTTATTTTCGTACATACAGATATTTATCGGCCCATAATTTTTTACTAGTAATTCAGAAAATACTAAAAGAATTCAAACAATAATCAAATTAACAAGAAAGAGATCAAACTAATTAAAACTCTTGATCATGGAAAGAGGTATGTGGAACAAAATTAACTCAAATTTAATTAGCTGAATGCCTTTTCATTCTTAATAGAGTGCGATTGTTATTATGTGTAACCTTGTTTTTTAAAAATATTTTTTTATTTAAGAAAATATTAAAATATTTTTTATTTTTTTAACATTAACATATTAAAATAATTAAAAAATCAATTTGATATTTTTTTTCATATTAAATATACTCTTAAGATTAATTCAAAAAATAAATGGGGGTCTCGTACTCGAGGTCTGACCTATCTTTGCCGATATTGAGAACTGGTAAGTGCAGATCTATCCTGAGCTGTTACGGCTATCCATAGCTCAACTGAATCCTGTCTTTATTTTTCCTGAGAAAAAAAGAAAAAAACACACAAACGAACAGGTAAAGATAGGGTCATGTCGTTGTAGGAAAACTTATCTTTTGTTTGAGAAAGAAGAATCGCTGTCGTTTCGGCTTCCTCACTTGATAAGTCTGCCCATCCTTATCCAAGAAATTGGAGTTATCCATTTTTCAAGTGGCAGAAGCCATCCGTTTCACATATAGAGAGACAATTGAGGCCAGTAATTATCTCCAACTCCAAGAAAATACGTAAATTTCTATCCATCACGTTTCGAACAGAATCTGTATACTGTGGGTTATCCCAATGGGCATGCTATCAATTATAAACAAGATAATTTGAAAGTTAATTTCAGCTGTAGCCATCATCTAGCTCAGATCCCATCCCGCAATAAAACATTTATCAAAAGGATTTATATGCTAGCTCCAAATGAAAAGGAAGTTGTGTTTTCCCTTGTAAATTACAAATGAAATATCCGTGCGATATTGACGACGGCTGGACAAAATTTTATGGTTTGATTTTTTTATCGTAATATATATTTAACTGTCGATATTTTATTTGATTTTGTAAACTTTATTTTGTTTTGATTAGGCAAGAGAAATTGGAGATAATCTTAGGATTTGCTTTGATTTTTTTATTTACTTTCCATGTTAAGTAGCTTTTTCAAACGTATCGGACGTATTTAGGTCCAAGAAAATCAAGAATTTAGTTGTTTTTTGTTTTTGGTATTTGAAGGTTTTGACGTGGAAAAAAACTTAAATTAAATCTTTAAGCTATGTATATGAAACAATAATTCTTGGACCATCGACAACTGGTTGTGGTATATCTGAAAAGGAGGCCGTGAAATATTAGATACATGTATATCAAAAGCATGTGCAGATAAGAATCTATGGTTGCAGGCCGTAAAAAATGCAGCTATTTACATGATTACAAGATTGAGGTCCGATCCTGGCTACTAGCATACATCCCCAGTTGGAATCATTACATCTGTATCAGCTGAAACTGATTAGGGTATCTATAATTCAGGGTTAAATCCAGCCCAGTAAACAATTTTGCAGCTACCAGCACTGATCAGTTTCCCATCTTCGCCTGGTGTAGGCAGGAAATCCAGCAGCTACAACATTTGTTTCCATTGTTGCTGCAGACATTACAAAGGGAGAGCTCATTTGCCTTCCAGGTCTAAAAAGCGAAAGATCATATTCTGCACGTTTGTCAGGGTCCGACAGAGTTTCATAAGCTTCGTGTACTTTAATGAACTCATAAGCTGTGTCTTCCTTTTGAACGTTAGCTGCAACATCAGGATGCAATGTTCTTGCTAGCTTTCTGTAAGCAGCCTTGATTTCCTGGCAAGTGGCACCCATTTGAATCCCGAGAACTTCGTAGAGAGATATTTGTGTGGCATAGCGGGATGGTGGTCGCTCGGCGGTGGAAGCGCAGGAGGCAGAGACACTGAATGGGCGGAAGCTGGCACGAAATGGAAGCGAATGAGGCTGATTGGTCGAGAACTTTGAGCCAGTGAAAGGAGAAGAGGAGGAGCTGAAAGACGCTAGAGAAGATGTGGAAGCCATGACTGAAAATACACCAACGATACTTGTGTTTCCTCGTGTGCTGTGTGGTTGTGGAGGTTGAGGAGTTGAGGAAAGGATGAGTCGTTATTTATAAGGAGATGGGAAATTGATTAACCATGGTTAGTTTGGTGGATTGGCGAATTATGGACTTACCTATTTACAGGGATCTTGTATCTTAAAGGAGGGCAAAAATTATCACTCTGATTGTGCACCCTTGTGAACCAATTGTCTTCACAGATTAGAAACCATGATTCTCTGTAAAAAAATTATGGGGTTATCATCATATTTATGTTTTTTATAGATGCATGTATCTCTTTTATTAGTTATTAGTGACTATGAATTATCAAGAATTGACCTTGCAGCTTGTACCTGTATTTGATAATAAAAGTTTTATGAAAATAAATTAAATTTCCAGCCATTTGTGCTCTGCTAATCGCGTATTTGACGCGTTCGGACTTCTTTGTCTGGTCTTCAAGAGCCACATTTGAGCATGAACTTGCATCGCTGGGCTTACTCTTTAGTAGTTTGATGCCATGGGCATTTTAAAAGCTGAGCCTTACATTAAAACCAGGTAAAGGCCGTTAAAAATAATGGGATTAGAGCTATTTCATGCTGGGATAATTCTTCTTAAATAGGAAGTGACAAAAGACAAATTTCCTGATATAAATTGTTTCATTCGACAAAGCTTACAGTAAAACATAAGACGAGCATCAACTGTTCCAATAATATAGGATAGGATCGTCTAGATAAACCGTCAAGCTGACTCAGAGATGATCACAAAGCATAGAAAACAAAATACTATTATAATGGTAAATACAAAAATAAAAACTTAAAGTACTTCTGCGCCTATAATGATTCAGATTTCAGAGGTGTGACGCAGACCCACGTTAGATGAGTAAGAGATTGCTCCGTAGAAGTTGATTAATTCCACAGAATAGTAAGAAAAACAAGAAGTAGGGTAATGGAGTACGGAACGACTAAGATTTTTTCCATGTTCGAATTCTTTTCGAGGACATGTATTGGATTAATTTTTTAATCTTTATATATAATACTGATTTCATAAATATGTAAATTAATATTAGCCAAGGTTTTTGCTCTAACCTTAGCAAAGTGTAAATAAATTATAGCATATAGTTTTCAGTCATATTAATGTAAATATTTATAGTTGAACAACAAGATGTCTTTTGAATTATAATTATTTTTTAGCCAATAATATTTAGCCTATTCAAGAGTGTAATTATAATTATTTTTTAAAATATTTTTTATATTAAAATATATCAAAACAACCCAAAATATATAAAAAAACTTATTTTTTAAAAATATAAATTACACCATGTTACTAGATAACTACAAAGAAAAATTTATTTCCGTGGGTCATGGACGCGGTCCATGTGGATAAGAAGAAACCATGGTGTCGAGGAAGAGTGGCAACGCCCCCCCACCCCCAAAAAAAAAAAAGAAGGGAACTGAGGACCAAAAAACAGGAGCAATGTCCCTGTCAATATTTTATTGCCTTGCCTTCAGCATGAACGGAGAAAAGGAAATACTTGTTTGGCAGTTCGGTGTCTTTTGTTTTAATTTTATTTTTTAAAGGAATATTTATCTTTAAAAATATGGAATTGGTATTTTAACTATTATTTTTTAATAATTTTGATGTATTAATTTTAAAATTTAAAAAAATAGAATAAAATATTTTGATATTTGGAAAAAAAAACTTTCAAAAACATTATACATTACAATATTAAATACAGACGAAATCGGTTGGTAGCTTAAAGGGTCCATATATTGATATATTTGTGGTCCTTGAAAACTCAATCCATTTGCCAGCTTGAATGGCACTGGACTTGATTCGTTGAACCTAAGACTGGGCTGTGTGCTTGTTGAGTCTAATCCTTGTGATTGTAGCTGCCATCTCATCCACATTTGGAGATACCGCGTCAGGAAAGGATGTCTGGTCTTGTCCCATTTCAGTTCAATTGCAACCAAACGCAAGACACCGGCAAGTCGACAACGGAGCCGTTGGCTTGAAGGCTGTACCAATCAAGCCATTGCTACGTGCTTACTCGCTATGCTCCATGGACACTTATAGAGACGAGTCCAGCCTTGGCCCATAATCGTACATACCAATTGAAAGTGAGGCCCGAGTCTGTTTGACCCAGTTCATTGAGGCTGTAGACTACTGGTTGTATATTTGGAGAACGAAAATGGGTAGTTCCCATCGTATCTGTTTATGCGTGGCATGGATTTATCCATGCATTGAGCTGTTTTTTACGCTCTGTGTTTCAATTCAAACCAAGATTGCGAGCGAGTCTTAGAATTTGTGCTTCTTTCAGTGCATTTGATATTTCTGTCTGGCAAAGCCTCTGTCTTTGGGTCACTGCTCTTGCTTTTGCTTCTGCTTTTGCTTTTTGGAACTGCTCCATCTTTTTGCGTTTCCTCTTTAAAGGTAGAGGAATTGGGCACTTCAAATCGCTATACCTCTAGTTCAATCATTGGGCAAAATTCACGCATATGGCTAATAGACATTGGACACTCCGTCAATAGTGGATAGAAAATCTTGAAACTTCGAAGTCTGTTTCAGCTTTATCTATCATTCCAGATCCCTCTCGGACCAAGATAAACAAGAATCCAATTCTCTACGAAAAAAAATCCGAGTCCATTCCTCTTGTCGGAATAAAGAAGAACTCATTTTCCTTGAAATGGAGTATGTTCCAGTAGTATTATAATTTCAAGAACAGAGGGCTTGAATTTTACTGTTCAGCACCTCCATGTCAAAATCATAGCATTAGCACAAGTAAGAATTCATAATTCCAGGCTGAAAAAATGCCGCCTTGGGACATGATACAAGAGATGGAGGTCCAATCTGGACTATTTACAATAGCAAATAATCCCCAATATTTGGGGGTCAATACTGTATCTAACAATTTCATCTAGCAATCTAAGGGACTAAAATCGATTGGGATCTATGATCTCACAGCCTCTTTTCCCAGTTACCAGCACTGATCTGTTTCCCATCTCTGACTTGTATACCCAGAAAATCCTGTTGCCATTGTTGTTACAGTAGCAGCAGACATCACAAATGGAGAGCCCACTCGCCTTCCTCGTCTATAAAGGGAGCGATCATAATCTGCACGTTTTTCAGGATCAGACAGGGTTTCATAAGCTTCGTGGATTCTCATGAACTCGTAAGCTGTGTCCTCCCTTTGACCGTTAGCTGCAACATCAGGATGCAAGATTCTAGCCAGTCTTCGATAAGCTGTCTTGATCTCCTGACACGTGGCGCCCATTTGAATTCCAAGAACTTCGTAAAGAGATGGTGCAGATGTTGGTGTTGCAATGTATGATGTGGGTCTCTCGGCGGTTGAAGCGCAGGCAGCGGATACTCGAAAGGAGCGGAAGCTGACGCTAGACGGTGGTGGTGAATGAGACTGATTGGTGGAAACTTTTGAACCAATAAAAGGAGACGCGGAGGAGCTAAAAGATGCGAGACAAGTTGTGGAGGCCATGTTTGGAAAGTAAAACGTGTTTTGCCGAGTTGTGTTGTTCAAGGATGTTGAGGAGATGAGGAATGGGTGACTTTGTTATTTATAGAGAAGTTGAGGATTGGTTAACCATGGTTAGTTTGGTTGGTTAACGAATTGTCGTGGGCTTATCCATTCGGTGGTTTTTGGATCTGTCACATGCTGACTCAGAAAACCGTCGGCGTTACAAGAACGTTGTACCTTGCAGGCAGACAAACACGTCTGCAGCCCACGGAATGCTTTGGATGCTTGTGAATTTTCTTCTAGAAGCCTTCCCTTTCGAAACTTATTGAGTAAATTGTCTTTAGTCCCAGAATTTTAAATTCAACTGTAAATTAATCCTTTGTGTTTGAAATTTTATAACTTAATTTCTTAATTTTCGTTGATCCTTGTAAGATTTGACTGTTTTTTTCTCTAAACTCTCGCCATGTATATTTTTCTATAGGAATTTAAATTATGAATTGGTATGTTAGGGGTTAAGAAGAGACCAGAAATATTTTAACATAACAATGGTCAGCTAGAGTTAAGGGACTAGGTTATAGGTTTTTAAAAACTAAGGACTGGATTGTATTATAGTTCAAAACACAGAGACTAAAGAATAATTTACTCTGTCTTATTGGGTTTTGAAGTCTAATTTCCTTGTGCGCACATCCTTCCAATGAATCCATAGATTAATTTCTCCTAGAGTCCATTCCATTGGATGTCACTTCATAGCTTTTAAAGATTAGATTTTCATGGAAATGGCATGAAAAGTGTCTAGCATAAATTAAAAACTAAGAAAATAGCGGCAAAAATATTCTGTGCAGATCCAATCCGACTTTGTCATTTCTTGAGGAATATATTAAAAAATGTGGGGATTTATTTACATTTAATTCACGGTGCTTTCCTTTTTTTTTTACTTTTTTTTTCCAACTTTCTTCTTTTTTTCATTTTTTTTCTTTTATTTTTTTAAAAAATTATCTTTGTTGATTTTATTTTTTAATATCAAGGTAGTTAAAAATTTCTTTGTAATTTTTTTTTAAAAAAATACTGTAAATTGCTATAGTGTTTTTTCATATGGTTTTTCTATTTTATTTTTTTAATTTTTTAAAATTTTATTGATCGATTTTATTTTTTTAATGTTGAGCTAAATGAGAATTTAGTTTTGTAATTTTTTTATGTGTTGTTAATTGCTATAGTGTTTCTCAACATAGTTTTTTTTTGTTTTTTTCACGAGTTTTTTCTGAAATTATCTTTTTAAATTTTATTTTTTAATATTGAGCTGGTTAAAAATTATAGTTACAATATATGAGAAAAACACTATAACTTTCTTCGTAAATTATTGTGAATTGCTATAGTATTTTTTTCCATGTGGTTTTTTTCAATATTTTTTGTGTTTTTTGTAGATATTTTTTAAAAATTATATTTGTTAATTTTTTTTAATGCTGAGCAATTTGACTTTATAATAAAGCTTAATCATGAGGGAAAGCATTGTAGTTTTCCTTGCAAAACACTGTAAATTGCTAGAATGTTTCTCAATATTATTTTTTTAAAATTATCTTTGTTAATTTTATTTTTTTAATATTAAGCTTATTGAAAATTACAATTACAAATAAGACTAAATCATATGAAGAAGTATTGTAACTTTCATTATAAAACACTTTGAACTGTTATAGTGTTTTCAACATGATTTTTTTTATATATATTTTTTTTTTAAATTATCTCTGTCGATTTTATTTTTTTAATATCAAGCTGATTGAGAATTTAGCTTTATAATTT